GTCACAAACCAATAACCAATCACGTCAAGGGATCGATTCCTATCACTAGCATGCAAAATATACCAATACCAGCACAAAACCAAAAAATAAATCAGAGCAAAAAACCCATGAAGCTGTGGTTTAATGTGAATTTAGAACCGCTAACTTGCATTATAACCCGCGGCAACAGTGTAAAAGTAGGAGGCAGACCCACCCACCTCTCCCGCAGCTGCGTCTGCACTTCACACGCGTATGCTCGCGGGCGCGAATTAACAATCACAAATGGCTGCATTCCAGTCTTCAAGGCATTTTAGGACACCACATCGTCAAGTAAGTAACTTTAACGAATGTTACAGTATTCACTGTAGTTGTCCGTTAGTAAAAAGATAGTTTTATCAGTCATTATCCGTGTATGTCATTGTTTTGCGTTTACTACAGTTCAGTGGATCAGGAGGCGCTGGCTGGTGTGACTGAGTGGAGGCGGGACTAATTTGCATATTCATAGATCAGCGTATAGTAAATGAGGCAAGGGTGTAGAGTTGCATTCAAGCTATTTTAAGGAATGAGAAAATTATTTTCACAAGAAAAAACATTTAAATATGTAATTTTGATGATCAAAGATAAGTTTTAAGGGATAAAATATTTGACTACAGGGGGACTTTAAAACAAGTTTAGGTTTATCTGCCTGTCTGTCGGCCCTCTGATTTTGTGTTTCGGTTTCGGTTTCAGTTTCTGTATTTATAAGAGGATGTTGCAAATGACTGTCAGGAACTGAGATAGATTATTATAGAGACAGCTTGCCTTAAAATGAAACACTTGTCATTTCCTCACACGAAATGAGTTTAACTAGCCCGAATATTAAAAAAATAAAAAATATATATATTTTTTTAAATTAATGGAGAAAATTGAATAGGAGTCAAAACATCAATCAAAAACATTTTCAAAATACAAATATCAAGGAAGGAATTTTATTTCACTATTTAAAGGGTACCTGCAGGATAAAAAGACATAAGATTCCAGACAGAAGATGAATGAATGGGGGATGGGTCATGAAGCAATTGATAGAGTGATTCCAGAGAAAAACAGTTGGTGTTCCTGTGTTGGTGTACACCTACACACTCAGACGTCACACGCACCTACAGCCTATTCAGGCTTGTCTTTTAGCCACACCTTTGTTAAGGTACATGAATACTTGGTACCTTGTGAAACACTGTTTCCTCCAACACTGATGAGAAACAGAACACTTTCAAAAAACTTGGTCAGAAGAGATAATCTAGAGAGCTTTATCGTAAGGTGTTCTTTATGTTGATAATCAAAGTCTGTACAAGTATAGATAATGCATCCTGGAACATCCAGTCACAAAGAAATAAAATTTGAAATGCCATCAGTCATCTGGTCTGAAATACCATTGAATTATCCACCAGGGGGCAGCACCACAATCCACTGCACACCTTTCCGCTCACTGCCTTTTATCAGGTTTATCAGATTGTAGCAAGTTGGCACACATTTTCGCGTTAGGCAAGCTCACACATGGCCCACATGAAGTGAGTCACTCTTGTGTGGTGGTGTTTAGCACTGAAGTAGGAGTGCTGTGTTTGTGCTTCACACCCAAATGTCCAGCTGTCATGTGTGTCGAGGTGTTAGCCCGCAGGGGGTGCAGGCTGATCCGCGCTCTCATGCAATATGGCTGCCACACCTCTCGTCAAAACACGCCAAGAACAGTATGAAAATGTCTCCACGTGGGATAAGTAAAGAAGGGAACCCTGTTATTGATTTCACCCACACCGATATTCAATTTTGAGACATTCTTTTTTTTTTTTGTGCACAACCATTATGTGCTGAGTAGTCACATGATTAAAGCCACTAACTCCTGCTAAATCAGCTATTAATTGCTACCACCAACATCTAATATACTTATGGCAAAGATGGGTCGAAAAAGTATAATTAAAATCATATATTTTTTTGTTTAATTTCTTTTGGGGTTTTTTTTTTTTTTGGAGATTTATATTTAATCATTAGCACTTTTATCCAAAGCGACTTCGAAATGAGGAATACAAATGATTTATCATGAGGAAATAACATGAGAAATGTTGGCAATACAAAGTTTCAAACATTGTCCAGAATAGTACAATTTATACCACAGTGTATCTGAAAATAAAAGTTATATGTAAATTATATTTGTATATTTAAATATTATTATAATATATACACATGCATATTATACATACAACTGTAAACTGTAAAATGTATACACCCACAATTTTATACAAGTTTGGCAGAGAAAAAGTACATATACATATATATATATACACACACACACACACAAACACATATACATACATACACGTACATGCACGGATACACACACACACACACACAATGAAAATACACTGATTAGTTGTGAAAATAGGTAGTATAATGTTTTGAATAATAGAACAACATGTAAACAAATAACCCTGCTTCCGTTTGACCCGTCCACTGAGCAGTGGAAGATGTCCTGATCTAAACACACTAATGCATGTCCTGTTTCACACTCTTGTGTTGACACAGGAGGGTGAGCTTAGAGTCTGCACATCGTTCATCTCCATTTGCTTAGCACGCACCCCAACCCTTTCACACTTTTTAACACAAATCTCTCCTAAAACACGCTGACACATCATGCTACTCCATTTGCGCAGCTAAAGTTAATACCTCTGCTGACAGTGTGGGAAGGTAACAGTAAAAGATCTGGGTCTGTAGTGAACATCCCCTTAATGGTTTATTTGGTCACCCAAATGTGGAGGTCAACGGCTGTGCTGTTTTGTGTACGCTGAGAAATATAGAGAAAAGCAGCTTTTGTTAAGCAGGATTTGTTTATGGCGTGGTCTGGGTCAGTTTCTGGTTCAGACCAGTGAAACTTTTTGATTTATCAGACCTCCCCACACACCTTCAATTACACAGACACCCCCACCCCTCTCCCTCCCCCCTGATGAGTGGGTGATAATGACTCAGTTCTTCATTAGGCAGATCTCAAAGCAAATATGCCTGTACTTTACTCCCTTCATGCAACTCAAATACATACATAAACCAATCCACATTGCAAATAGAAACAGACTTGCTTTCACTCACCACAAAGCTGGACTGTTCTCCATTTTATCTTAAAACTTTTACTGTAAACTGGGGAATAGGGGAGGTTTGGTTGGTTAGTTTGTTTTAAGGTCCACATTTTTTTAAATTAGGGTTTAAATTAAGTTTTTGAGACAGAAAATTAGTTTATAAAAATTAAAATGATTATTTAATAAACAAGATTTTACATAAGATTTAGAAGCTCTCCTGCTTTATGGACCGTGAAATGTTTTGATAATACATTTCTGATTTGGTAATATCTAGTAACAAAATCTTGCTTTGTTGATTTGAGGTTGCAGAGATTGCCAGGTTTTCTCAGACTTTGTTTCTTCAGATTCTTTTACATATCCCCTCCTCTGCCCCTCTGCCATTGGTGAGTTTACACACTGACTCCGCCCCTTTCAAAATTCTCTGTATACGAGCACTCCCTACCTCTCACATCCCTAGAACAAAGTTAGAGATTGTTACAGCACACACACACAGAGTGTGTTTAGAAGTTAGAACGCTCCGCTCAGGCGGACAATCACGAGTTGGGGGGGACGGTGAAGTTTTCAGACCCCTTATGTTAAATCACGTATTTATTTAAGAATCACTTGTGGATTATTGCCGACCCTTTAAAATAACAGAAACCAACCAGTGGATTTTATTGAAAGAAATGGTGGCTTACGATGAACCTTGTGTGGTACCTATCAAACGGACTTTACAGAAGATAGACTACCAGAACCAGACTTACAAAGAACTAGAGGTGAGACCCAAAGCCAATTAATCACAAATTCTGTCCTTTTGTTTTTTTTGCTCCTTATCTTGCTTGATAAAAACATTTGGGTTCCCTTCACATTCTTTATCAGCTAAATCAGAACCTTGCCCTGTTGTTATCTCGTACACACACTTGCCTTTAAAGGAGTAAGACCACAGGTGTGTTTCTCAAGGGTGTGAGACTTGAGTGAGTGATCGGCAAATCAACAAAGCTAAAGGTCTTTTCACCTATAGTCATTGAGTTACTGGTTTCCATTTGAACCTTTTTAAAATTGTCTTTGTCAGTTTGTCATTCATTGTGGTGGCTAAATGTGCCTATACAGGAAGTTTAAAGCCTGTGTGTTTGGCTGTACACCTGAGCAAAAGGTTTGCAGTTATATTATTGGTTTGAGGGACCCCTCGGGGCTTTTTTTATTTTTTTTTTGAAGGTGTGAGAGCATGCAGAGATGAAGAACATTCCAGCTGTCTGAAAGCAATCACAGCCCATAGCTCAGGTGTGCTTGAGCCCTGTTCTTAGTATTTAGAAATGCATTTAAGACCCAGAAAGAGGCTTTTATCTCACTTCTCTTCAACGGGCTGCTGTTCCTATCTGCGGTTTCAACTCAGATTCGGAAGTGGCCACAGAAATGTTTTAGTTGTCGGGAAGGCTAAAGCAGAAGTAGCAAATTATGAATGAATCAGGAGATTTTTAGGAAGTTGTGGCTCAAGGCTGAGGGACAGTTCTTTAACTACAATTTGGTTCCCCTCATTCATTTTTTAATCACAAATTATTGTTTGATTGCCAGGTAACCATTTGCATGGCTTGCCAGTAAGAATTTAGATGTAATCTGTCCATCATATGGATTTTGAGGAAAGAACAGGGAAAATACCATAGACTTCTCCTGTTTAGTTACAGCTAATAATAACAAAATATTAACAGTACCCATAAAATAAAATATTTTGCATGTTTAGAATAATAAAAGACTTTATTTTTGGAGGTCAATCCCAATGGAAAGTTTTATCAGATTTAGCCAACATCTAGTGACAATTTTGTCCCCAACATATAGCTAAGCAAACACACTCACACATTACTAAACAGCAGTAGTCTAAGCATTGGTTCCTGTGGGGGAGGCTTCTCCCTTGCTATGTTCTTCCAATTCAACTCTCCCAGGGGGTCCCTAAGAGACAACACAACCAGAAATAGCCACACTATCATTCTATCTGTCTGCCTACATGTTGCTCTTTCCACTAGATAATCTACAATTTTAAAAAAGGGAGAGAGAGAGCAGGAGTGTTTATTATTTCAGGGTTTCCCTAAACAGCAGGAAGAGTGCAATGGGCAGCAATAACACTGTGATTATTTGCTTAGAGCCAGTGATGTTTCACACAGGTACTGCTGTGCTCATTTGAATTCAGTTTTTAGCCAGACTGCTTCCTCTGAGGTCAGTCTCCCCAACATCTTGTGTTTTTGGCCACCGGTAGAGGTGGTTCAGATGTGGTCTTCATGTTTACTTGCATACGTTACAGCAGAGGAAGGGCAGACAGGCGGATCTGGGTGGCCAAGTCCAGTTGTGCTTGGGCCACAGTTGCAGTTCCTGCTAAAATTAGTTTGTAGATCTGCTCGGCAGCTGTCTCCGCTGGTCAGTGGAATGGTTCCTTGGTTTCGCTTTGCCAAGATGACAACAACACATCCTTTTTTTAAAATACTTTCAGCAGCTGGAAAAACATCCAGCACTGGAAAATCTAAATCAGATCTCCTTTGCTTTGATTCCCCCCCCCCCTTCTCAGGTCTGTTGAAGTTGGCTGGAGGCCCAGTCATTATGGATACAGGGTTTGAGAGTGCTCACATCCCCCTCTTCCAGGGGGTTCAGGTGTGCCTGTCTCTCTCACGCAAGGGCTACAGGGCCTGCCTCAACACGAAGCCATAAACAGAGGAAAGGAGGGAAAGCAGCAGGGTAGAGGGGAGTAGAGTGCACCTTGTTTAAAGACCTGGGTCAAATCTGTAACTCCCCGTGGTGGTCCATCTGACCCACATAAATACACACATCCAACAGCTCTTAAACTTCTCCTTGAGAGAGCAAATTTATCTCCGTTAAGTGAACAACAACCCTGATCAGGGGGCCTGTTTGCTATAGTTAGGCTATGATGTCGAGTGTGTGTGGGTCATCAGAGTGGGACAGCTGACTGGAGTCTCCTAACATTCCAGTCATGCCTCTTGAACCCTGGGTCTCCAAGGTCGCAGTCAGAGAGGGGTCTTTGTTTGTGTTTGTATGTGTGTGTATATATATATATATATATATATATATATTTAAAACATGCACACACAATGTTACTCAATTTTAGTTAAAATATTTAGTTTATTTATATTTTAGTTATTATATTTGTATATTTTAATGTTTTGTATACGCATGCTAGGGGGTCAATCTCACATGACTGGCATAACAGTGGCTCACTCCAGAGGCTGGAGCTTCCGCCTAGCTGTCTGTCGTCCAGGAAACACCAATCATCCTGACCTCCGTTTGACCCCTTCACACCCGCAACAGTGGAGTGTGTATACAGTGACTCTTACGATAGCCTCTGTTTACATGAAGCAGCAACTTGTGCTCTATTCTTGATTTTAGCCTTCTCGTGTTGGCAGTTGTGCAGTTAATGAAGCACTAAGGAATCTGTTGTGGTCAGTAGGGGGTGATTAAGTTTTAACTTTTATTTCCATCCTTGTCTTTCATAGGAACCCTGTACCAAGCGTGTGCGGCCTCTCGGCCGAGTGACCTCGCTGGCAAACCTCATCTCTCCCGTGAAGAATGGGGCCGTCCGACGCTTCGGCCAGACCCTCCAGGCCTCATTTCGGGGCGATGGGCGGTCTCCGGGCGTGCCCCAGCAGAAACCCTGCAGCAAGGCCGTGGCTCCCACGCCACCCAAACGACGCAACAGCACGCTCTGGTCCGAGACCCTGGACGTCCATCAGAAAGGGACCTTTTCCACCAAAGAGATTAAGAGACAAGAGGTGAGTACAGTCGGAGCTATGGAATCCAGACAGCACTGAGAAACCCAGACTATTAAATCCACTTTCAGTCCCCCTGCCAGACGCTACTGAATCAGGCCTTTGTGACTTATTAAACCTAAAGGGCCTGGGGCTTGGAAAGCGCGCTGTTCCTCCTCTCACTCTGTTTTCATTCTGCCTCTCTCTACCTCTCAGTCTGGCTTTGTTTTTTTGCCGTGTGTTATTGGCACACAGTGGAATGGAGCGGAGAAAGTCCGGCTGCATTCTGGCATCTCAGAGTCAGACGTACAGTGCTAACACAGACTGGCCGGTCTGACGCACAAAGCCTCCATTTGTCTCTGAAACGCATGACACAATGACAGGAGAATCTTTGAGAGTGCCAGGAGAGAAAACTGTTAATATTTGCAAATCAGTCCAACGTTCAAACAAAATGTCAATAACCTGATCTCTCTTTTTCCTTTGCCCTCTTTTTAGAAGTTGCATGTGTTCCTCTTTACGGAGGTTCTGGTCTTGACCCGGCCTGTGACGCGGAATGATCGGCATTGTTTCCAGGTGTACCGCCAGCCAATCCCAGTGCAGGATCTCGTATTAGAAGACCTGCAGGACGGAGACGTCCGCATGGGTGGCTCATTCCGAGGGGCCTTTAGTAATGCCGATAAAGGTAAGGTTGACAACTCTCAACGTCAAGCTGATCACACATTTTCCTTTAGTCATTTTTTGTTTCCTTTTGCTCATTGGAATATCTTCATCCCCCCCTTAGCCAAGAACATCTTCCGGGTACGCTTCCAGGACCCATCTCAGGGCCAGTCCCATACACTGCAGGTCAATGACATCTTCCACAAGCAGCAATGGCTCAACTGCCTCCGCGCTGCCATGTCGACCCAGAAAGATTCGCCTCTCCATGAGAACGAATCCTTGTCCACCCCTGCAAGTAATGACATTTGTACCAAACGGCGCTCGTCTTCTGTCTCCGCCATCATCCATATGGAAGAGACCGATGAGAACTGTCCACGGGCCGCGGCCTCCGCCCCTTCCTCCCCCAGCTCCGAGGAGCCCCCGAGTCCCACACCCTCTGCAACCTCCACCCTCTCCTCGTCCTCTTCATCATCTTCAATTTCCGCCCCCTTCCAGCCCCGCAAATCCAAAAAGGACAAGCGTTCAATCTGTTCACTGGGTAAGAGGAAGGAGACCATGGTGTAAAGACTGAGCTATCCCAGGGTGCACATGGAGTGGCACCGTGTGGAGGACTTGTATTTATATGTGTGTACGGACTGTGTGTTTCTACAGCAGTGTTTTTGTGTTACTGTCCACGATGGCAGCTATTATTACCAATCCCTCCCCCCAAAACCCTCCCAGGTCCATGTGGGCCACACCAGTACCAGAAAGACAGTATTTGTGAGGCGACTGTGTGGATCTCAAGGGATTGATGTCACATCCCGCACACTTTTAATCACCATGCTGATTTGTGTGAAAGCGCAAGATCACACATCTAGGTCTTGTCTACTGTTAGTTTGGTCATATTTTTTGTTTTATTTTATTAATATTGATTTTTTTTTTGTAATTAAAGTTTTACTTTTTTTTTTTAAACTTCTCAATAAGATATTTACTGTAGCTCTTTTTTTTTGTATTAAAAGCACTGTGTTTAGCTTTTAGAAGGGAAGAATGCCCACAGAGAAAAAAAGATGAAATATCCAAAGCAATGAATACTTTGTAAAAGTCTGATTCAAAGCTCTACTGGAAGGCAAGTCTTACAAGTACATTCCCATGAAACAGATGTTTTATCAGCTCCATTTTATATATTTAAATCATAAAGTTTTACTTTTTTTTTTAAACTTCTCAATAAGATATTTACTGTAGCTCTTTTTTTTTTGTATTAAAAGCACTGTGTTTAGCTTTTAGAAGGGAAGAATGCCCACAGAGAAAAAAAGATGAAATATCCAAAGCAATGAATACTTTGTAAAAGTCTGATTCAAAGCTCTACTGGAAGGCAAGTCTTACAAGTACATTCCCATGAAACAGATGTTTTATCAGCTCCATTTTATATATTTAAATCAGATGGTATAATTTTTATCAAGACAAAATGCTGTTTTGTAGCAATATGATTTTAAACTGTCCAAATGGAAAATTTGCTATTTTGTTAATGCAAAAAAATCTAACCTGAGCCATATGTTTTCCACCACCCAAAATGATGGATGAATATTTCAGTGTAGCATCTTGCATGGAGCTTTACTTGTTGAGTCCTGCCTGTATTATGAGGGGCCAGTGCATGTACATGCTTGTTAAAGCAGAAAGTTGATGTAGAAATGGACTGTTGGGTAGAAGAAAAGTTGAATGTTGAATGAGGGCTTGAGAAATGTTGATGTGAGATTTAGAAGGAACTTTGGAATAGAGTTGGATACAACTAGATGGACTTGATGATTGGCGCTACCATTAGCAACCATTCATGGACATTGGTTTGCTTTTATTTTTATTTTCGTAGTGTCTTCATGAAGTAGAAAGGTTTGATACACTGGTTTAAAAGCCAAGGTGTCGTTTTGAGAAGGAAAATGAAAGTATGTTTAGGAGAAATTAACTGTTAAAGAAGGTTAAAGTATGTTATGACCACTGTAAAAGTCTGTAAAAGTTTGTAAACGAGAAGGATGTACATTATTGAGAAGGACTGCGGTGGCCTGTATGTACAGTATGTGATGTAAAAATCAACTATTAAAAGAACAATAAAGGTCTGTGTATGATTTGCATCTGACAACAGAGTCCCTTCTCTTCTTCTGATGTAGATTGCTGTTCTACACTACAACCCATTAAACCCATCAAAGTTTTCCAAAGGCATTTGTGAGACATTACAAAACCTAAACTTAACACATGCCGATGTGATTATGAAAAAGCTATCTTGAAATTGTTTCCATAATTTCTAAGTAGACAGGCATTCAATAAACATACAGCCACAAATTCACCCATACACAGGTTAATTAGTCAAAGTACTTGTGTTTTTCTCTGCTGACAATGAATCACTCAATAGCGCTTTAAACAAATCCCCCAACGTGGGCGACATGCCCAAATCATCATCCATTTTTAGCCTTTGGATGATTTTCCTACTCCGAATCGGTCTTATCCAGCTCCACTGCCCTAAACCCCCTCACCATTTCATCTAGAACTTGGCAGCTGCATAAAGTCAGTCAGTCTGTATTAAACAAATACCTTCATTTATCTCCGTGAACCCCCTTCACTGATGGTATTTGCCTCTGGTAATCTCTTTAGTGGGAGGCCCAAAACAAATGGGCTGTCAGGAGTTACTTAGTACGTCCGCTGACGCGCTTTGGAGTCTGGATTCGAATAACACAATCGCTTTGTTTGTCTGACGGTCAATCAGAGCGCTTGTGTGTGTGAACGTTGACGACAGGTCTAAAGAATGAGATTGGTTCTTCTTTAAAGCTAATCTCAACCAATGAGTTCATGGATTGATTTTACGTGCATTAAGTCATTTGGCTCTTGGATGCTCAAAATGGCCTTTCTGTGCTTGGCAAGGCCGCTTTTTAGTGGGTTCAGGTTTTATGGAGAAATTGCATCATGTCTGCTTTTTAGGGATAACGAATTCTCCAAACGTTCGTTCATTTTGCCCGAGGAGGCTGCCTGCTGTTGCAGATTTACTTTATTAAACACTATTAATGTAGACACGTATCCTTTCCAGGGTCAGTGAATGGTCGTGAGCATTTACGAGCGAGTCGGGTTATCACAAAGAGGGTCTGTATTGTGAAGCAACACTACATTGTTCCTCACTGTAAGGGAGGAAACAGCATTTATTGAGTCTACTGGGAGGAAGTCAAACAAACATGATGGTCAGTTTACAACTGTGAACAGACAAAACATTTACCAGTAATTGAGTCCATCCAGAAGGGTTTTGGGAGAGGATGACCTTTTCATAAAACCATCCTTAATTTAACAACGTTTAGATCTAATTTTGTGTGTGAAAACGACCTGATATTACACTAACGAAGACCTTGAAGAGCATTGCATGTTGTCTAAACAGCCACTTGAACAGTCGCTGAATTAGCACCTACCCCCTTAAGTCTCTAAACAAATGTAAGGACATAAGTGAATGTGCCTTCACTGTGTGATTGGGGTTATGTAACATTTGACAAAGACTAACAGAGTTGTAATCTTGCAATAAGAAGCTAATAGGTCAACGTCTTCATATTGTTATGGATAGTGATGGAGCCAGACAAACCTTGGGTGTAATAGATCTTTGGTTTGGATTACGTCTTCATACATTCAGGAAATCAGATCTTGGTGGTGTTTTCATTGAGATAACAAATGGTAAAATGATAATTTTATGATGATCTTGAAGCACTGAAATAGCTTATATACACAGTATCAACGTTATTAACCTAAAGCTACAGCAGAACGACAAAGGCTAATGTTTGGACATCTTTTTTGTTTGTTTCTGAAACCTGAAAAAAGGGAATTGAAACAGTGTAGAGGCAGAAAGGCATCAAGGCACATCTAAATTAACTTGTAGCATCACATCTGCATACTGTACATTATTGTAACATTACTACATTACTGTTTTTATCAGTAATTTGAGTTAAAGACTTACTGACATAAGCTTGCGTGCACACTTAGCACTCAGATACCCACTCTGGTACACTTTGAATGGTTTATGAAAGAACATGACTTCATTCACCCAGAGGTGCTACAGAGAACAGCTTGATACACAAAACCGTAGCTTCTGAGCTTAAACTGGGAACTGATGTCAACTTCTTATTAATGCTGTGTGAATCACACAATACTAGTCAAAGATTAACTTCCTATTTAATCATCCTTCCCGTTTCTTATACTTTAAATTGTTCACATGCTCAGGGAGAAGGCCCTAACTGCAACCAACAAAACTAAGCAATGACCTAATGTGGATAAAGGCCATGCTCTCTATACATGTTGGAGCTGTAGTGTTTATGCACATGATCAGTCACTTTTTCTTTCACTACCAGTCCAAAAATAAAAACAAAAAATGTACAATTGTGCAATTTCTTCTGTAATTTCAAAGTCTGTATTAAGGCAAGTCAGTCACTTGGTGGCCATCTTGGCATCACCTCTGCACCGTCGTTCTATGTAGACAGTCATAGAAGTACAGGCAGCTACATGAATGAACGCATGCATGAATGAATGAATGCATGAATGAATGAAATGGCAAATTAAATACAAAATAAATAAATAAATACACACACAGGTATTCCTGTTTTTATACTGCACAAACTGTATTTTCTATCCCCTTACTCTAACCCTACCCATCACACAACAGTTTCTGCATTTTTAGATAAAAAAAAAAAAAAACTTCATTCTCTATGATTTATAAGCTGTTTCTGTCAGGACCACTATCGTCAAAGATGATTGACAATTAGCATACAGTTTGGATTGGCGGTATGGTTCTGTTCTGGGCAAGAACTCCCTGCGCATCCATGCAGCCTAGCATGGATGAGAGCAGGGAGAGCAGCGATAACAGAAAAACAAAACAGAACAGAACCAACATAAATGTATTGCAGATATCGTTAAAGTTCAATAATTTTATTGGGGATCAAAAAATGTCCATTTGTCCGCATAACATAGGGAATATCAGGAACACACACACACACACACACACACACACACATATCTCTGGTATTTCTGGCTTACAGGCCATTAGGCAATTGGGAATTTATAACCTCACTGGTAAGGCTTCAACTTGTCTCACCCTTCTGTAATCCAAAATTGCAAAATGCACCATTCTTGTCAATCATACAACCAACGTTATCCAAGACAGAGATGGGTCAAATAGGGGCAACAAGTTTGCTCGCTGAAGAGATCAAATAGAGATTCCTATCATTCGAATGGTATTTGAATGAATTATTCCCAAATATCACTTATTGCATAAATTGTGATATTTGTTTACAGGCTGTGATGTCGTAAAATTTGTAAAAATTTATGCAAGAGGATCTATTCCTGACAGGAGTTACAGCCAAACTATGAGTCAGTTCTGTCAGTGAGGCGGACAGCGTTCCAGGGAATCTACCAATTTCAGTTCTCTCTTTTCATGGGTGATTGCGACATATTACATTTCCATCAGTATTAATGGTTTAGTTATGTATAAAATTACATTTAAACATTTGCGTATGCTAGTCCACAACCTAGCCCATAACCATTCCCACATGGTTTACATTTTTATGATTTTATATACATGCAACAGTTATTTCATCGTTTAATTCTGTGTATCTCTGTTTTGTTCTCATGTTATAGAAACTACATTTCATTATCTGTAATTAATGCTGCTTATTATATTGTAGTGCATTGTTGTCAAATCTCAGGACCACACCTACTGTACTCTCAACTTATGAAACAATTACATAATGAACAATGTAGTCCAGTCTTACAGTAAATGTGTGTATATTCACTTGCTAATACACCAACTTACACAGCACAATTACTTAAGCACTAAATGACAGTACAGGAGATACAAGATTTGTAAAATGTCTGAAACTGCAAAAAAAAAAAA